ACCTGAAAACAGGCCATGCCAAGTAGGGCAGCTGCACCTGCCTGCACACGTGGGATCCAGGATTGGGAGCAGCCTTGGATCTTGGAGAACTTCCCTACATGTCCTCAGCTCCCTCTGGGGAGCACAGGAGTCAGGGGCTGGGATGGGTCAGGCTAGGCAAGACTGCAGCACTGGTTAGTATTTGTGTGGGCTGGGTCTGGGGACAGGACAGTTTGCCCCTGCTGGCATGCAGGAGAGCCAGGACAGAGGGTGCAGGCTGTGCCAGGATGGGCTAGGCTGCAACACTTGCTGGTGAGAGCTGAGACTGCAGGCAGGCCAAGCCAGATTGGGTGGAAGCAGCTTGGGAATGGGCCTGGTAGGGGAGCTCTAGGGACTTCCCTGCTGGGCTGAGGAAAACAAAACATGTAAAGGATAGCATAACTGCAATAATATTATAACATATATTCCATTAATGTATTCATTATCAATACTTCTAAACGACCTGGCCATTTAACACCTCTGTCTTTAGATGATTCAGCACAATTTACATTAGCTAATTATTCAGGCTTTTCATTGCTAAATATACACCACAGAAGAAAAGTATTCTAATTTTAAATGTCTAATAAAAGTGTTTGATACATTTTTAATTCCATGATCAATGAAAGGCTATCACCTCAGTGCAGATTTTGAAAGTGAATTAATGTAAGCTGAAGAACTATTGGCCTTTGAACTTGAATGTATAATGTACTTCAAGAGTTGGGGCTGCGAGCAAATCAGGTTGGACAAGGCTACAGAAGCCATTGGCATGCTAATGTACTTATTTATTTATTTATTTGATACATTTCCACAGGCTCTGGGATTTCACCTCTGCTTCCCCTAACCCCCTCCCTTCTTCCCCTACTGATTTCTCCTCTAGTATTACAATGGCTAATTCTTCATGAGCAGTCATAAGTCCATCATTATGCTATTAAAATGTAGTTTGACAGCAAGGAGTAATCCTTGCCTTTTCCTCCCCTATGGGTGCAAGAGAAAAAAAAATTCGCAACATTTGTCCCACCCACCTGCCTCTATACCTGGCTCTTCCAACCATAATCAGAGTGTGCATCATGGGTGTGCATCCTTCTCAATTATGTAAATACTATGAAAAAAACATTTTAAAGAAATGCATATAATTTTAAGGATGTATAAGTTGATAACGACGCCAAAGACCACAAATTGTCAGTTACTAAGCTAGCAATAATTTCAAGACAGTAATAATGAAACTAACATGTGTGCTAAAAGCTTAGTAGGTGCCACATGCACTGTTTAGCACTTGGCATCCATTATCTCAATGAGACCTCTCAGTTGCTTTCTAACACAGACAGTAAAATTATCTTTGCTTTCTAGATGACTGAACCATTATGTGCTTTCAAAGATCAAATAGCTAGCAAGTGGGGCAACTAGGAGCCAGTCCCAAAGTTTCTGACCCCATTCTCTTAATCACAGTGCTCTTTATGACACAGCCTAAAGGGAAGGGTTTTGATAAGACTGGATATAGGAACAGGCAGCCAAGTCTTTCAGATGCCTAGCAGAAAGCTTGAAAGAACTGATAGTCTAATGATGCAAAAACCTCTTCTTCACCTCTAATAGCTTTTGAGGACAGTTTTTCAGATTTCATTTATTCTGGGATAACTGGGTAGGAGATGCCAGCTAAATGCCGAATAAGCAACAGCTGTTACTGATGTGTTCCATTAAGCTAATGACTGGTCAGAGAAATGTGACAGCCCAACTGGAGCTGCTTTCCTTTTCCCTATCACTTACATGCTGTTAACGTTGCGTTTTTGGAATATTTGTTCTTTATCCTCCTTGATTATACCTGATGAAATAAGAATGGTCCTGCTGCTTTGATCCAGCCAGCCAAATTCTAATTTTCCCACTAAAGTCTTTATAATCCCTGCTCCAAAAGCAATCCTATTTGATAGCAAGTAAAAACAGTAAAGGAGTATTTTTTTTTTAAATTAATGAATCACTTGTGAAATGACTCAATTTTGGATTCTGCTCTTCTTTTCAGTTTTGGATTGAAGTTTTGTTTTTTTAAAGATTTATTTCATTTTTTAATTGGAAAGGCGGATATACAAAGAGAGGAGAGACAGAGAGGAAGATCTTCCGTCTGATGATTCACTCCCCAAGTGAGCGCAACGGCCGGTGCTATGCCGATCCGAAGCCAGGAGCCTCTTCCGGGTCTCCCATGTGGGTGCAGGGTCCCAAAGCTTTGGGCTGTCCTCGACTGCTTTCCCGGGCCACAGGCAGGGAGCTGGATGGGAAGCGGGGCTGCGGGGATTAGAACCGGTGCCCATATGAGATCCCAGGCGTGCAAGGCGAGGACCTTAACCACTGCGCCGTCGCACTGTGCCATGAAGTTTATTTTTACTGTTTGAGCTGCATAATATCATATTCAAGTTCGAAGGCCAATAGTTCTTCAGCTTACATTAATTCACTTTCAAAATCTGTATTGAGGTGATAACCTTTCATTGATCATGGAATTAAAAATGTATCAAACTCTTTTATTAGACATTTAAAATTAGTATACTTTTCTTCTGTGGTGTACATTTATCAATGAAAAGCCTGAATAATTAGCTAATGTAAATTGTGTTGAATTATCTAAAGACAGAGGTGTTAAATGGCCAGGTCGTTTAGAAGTATTGATAATGAATACATTAATGGAATATATGTTCTAATATTATTGCAGTTATGCTATCCTTTACATGTTTTGTTTTCCTCAGTTGTTTTCATATAGAATTTGTTATTTTCTCTAATTCATTTCTTGTATTATTTATATAAGGAAACATTTTATGTATCCTTAAAACAAATTGTATGTGTGTATGTAAATATATATATACATACAGGTATATGTATATGTGTATATATGTATGTACATATATGCGTAAATGTATATATATATGTGTGTGTATATACACACACACAAAGTATTTAAAATTATTAGGTAAAATCATTGTAGGTTGAAAGTCCACATAGACAGCAGTTTTAAAACCTGTCATACCTTTTTTTTTTTTAAATAGCATTCTTCTTTCACACTGAGGGAACAATATAAGTCATATTATGAATAAAATAGCTTCTTTTCCATCTCCTGGGTCCCTCCTCTTCATGAGCATCAAGGTCATCACTGATGCAATTGCTTTCCAGATTTTTTTTTTTTTTTTGGTAAATGATGAGAGCAGCAATTACAAGCATTTCTCTACATGACACTGCCTGGAAGACAGGCAAATTGTGTGTCTTGATGGATGTTCGCTATTATATACACTGCGTTGGAAATCTGCATGTAGGGAAAGGAAATTAACAGAGTAAAGACTGAACATAACTGCCTGTTAACAGAAGTAGGTTACCATAGAAAGAGTGCTGGTTAATTGTTGACCAATTTGGATTTCACAAAATCATTAATATCATGAAAAACCTGTGACTGTATAGAAATTTTCACACATTCACATACACATAATAAGCATCGTGACATTTGTGATCACTGACACAGTTCACATATTCAAAGCTTAATTAATTCCAATCATACATCTTTCATTATGAAGCATCGAATCTGAAAACGGATCACTTTGTGCCAGAGAACAAACTTGGGTAATTAATGCTGCAGAGTATAAATAGAGCAGCATAGTTGCTTGTGTTATACAGCGGATTTTTGGAATTGGAAATGTACTACCTGAATATTTGAGATGTTATGAATAATTATTGCTATGTTACAAATGGTGAGACACGTACAGGAGTTGCCTGATGGTGCTGTGATATACTATAATTTAGCACACAGCGTGGGTCCTTGTTTCAGGAGATGAGTGGGGAAGATGAGGAGGGTTTAATTCTGAACACCCAAAATGCTGCCCTCGGGTGACCACCTATCCATCAAGAGACTGTTCTGAGGACTGCGTTACAGTTGAAGTGGGGCTTCAGCCCAAGAAATGCTTATCCAGATTTTTCCCATAATACTTTTAGGAAAAATATGCTACATTTATACAATAAACAAAGTGATATTTTTTGTTCCTATCTGTTTCTGTGACTGGGGTCACAGCGTGGATTAATGAGCAGTATAAAATGTGTTGGGGGATGACATCTCATCTGAAAAAGTAGCTAGCAAGTGGTTAGCAAACATTAGGGAGGTCTTAGGTTTTTATAAAGATTTATTTATTTTTGTATTTGAAAGGCAGAGGGAAATGCAGAGGGAGAGAAAGGGGTAGAGAGAGAAAGAGGCCTTCACTGGTTCACTCCCCAGCTGGCTGCCACAGCCAGGGCTAGTCCAGCTTGAAGCCATAAACTCAGCTTCATCCAAGTCTCCCACATGGGCAACAGGGGCCCAAGTTCCTGAGTCATGTTCTGTTTGTCTAGGAGCATTTGCAGGGAGTTGAATAGGAAGTGGGGCATCCAGGACTCAAACCAGCGTTCATATGGGATGCCATCATTGCTGATGGCAGCTTGGTTCATTTGTGCCACAGTGCTGCTGCCCCAACATTAGTTTTCATTCTCATCCAAAATTTTATTTTCAAAGGTATAACCATTATTAAGACTTAGTTAAGCATCTGGCAGGTGGTAGACCCATAATCAATATTTATTACACAGTTATTTGTCCAAGTTAACAGCTTGTCTTGCTCAATATTGAAATCTCTGGCACTTAGCTTAAACTTTGAATGAAAATGCTCCTTAATGTGTGAATAGATGAATGTACGCATGAATGAAAAATACAGTTGCTAAACAAAGAAAAGGGGAGGGAAATACATTTTAAAGAGTTGCTGTTTGTGTAAAACAGATTTGTCTTAAAAATATACACTTCTAGGGTTATGGCTAATTTTGAATCAGTTCTGGGGCTTTTTTGAGGATGAGAATGATTGCATTATTATTTATACATTGGAAGAATTGCAATGTCCCTCCATGAGGAATCCCTAATTGTCTTCAGAGACCTTCTAGAAAAGCGGTTGTGCTGCTGTGTGTATCTTGAACTGCTCTCTTTTGTTCTTTTTCATCCCCAGGTGTGGAATCCATAGCATGTTCCCTTTACATTTAGCTGCCCTAAATGCTCACTCTGACTGCTGCAGGAAGTTACTGTCATCAGGTAAGTAAGGCTGTTCCAGAGATGAGACTTAGCACGTCCTGTCCATGAGTCACGTGCTTCAGGTGTCTGGTCAGAGTGCTTCATGTCATTGTCCGACTCTGCGGGCTGACTTGTGTCCCACAGCTAACTGCATGCAATCACTGCCTGTCACGTTGGGCTTGTAACTATTTAGATTTCAATAGGCCTCCCGCAGAATGAGAGAATTTTTCTGATTTTTAAAGATTAAATCTTGGATGATTCAGGATGAGATAGGCAGGGATGGCCAGGGTTTGAAGAAATTTAAGTCCTACAAGAAATCATCTTTGAAGCCTTAAATGGTGGCTCCACACGGTTTTGTCTTTTTTTTTTTTTTTAACCAACAGGAAAGATCAGATTCCCTAAATTTTTCATGGGAGAAAATGCTTGGATTACTCCTCTCTTCCTGGATGCTAAAAGGGGGGAAAAAATCAGTACAGCTGAAGCAATCCAACTGGGTTTAGTTTTTATTTTGTAATACAAAGCTATTTGAAGCCGCAGAATGCCCTCTGCTGTGGGGCTTTACTGATCTTTCTTATCAGTGTTTCAGCCAAACTTCATGTATTATGTAGTTTCTGAGCTTTCAAAAGTGATAGAGGGTCTGCAGAGCAAAAATTGTGTGTGAATTCTTTCGTCAGATAGCCATAGGCTAGTCCTCTACCTTTAATTCTGCTGTCCCTGCTCTTGGCATGCTTAAAAATAATCTCTGCATGAAAGCATGTTTCCCAAAATCTTGGGATACACTTAAGGAAATCTCTCTCCTTGGCGTGTAAGGATGACTCCTTAGCCTTCTGTGTGTTCTCTGTGGGTTCTCACTGCCTGCCTTTTGTCCCGCTTATCTCAGATTGGTTTCCTACATTTCTGTCCCAGGATTGCACCGGGGGCTTAGGGTTTCACCCAGGGCTGAATGTGAAAATAAATCCTTGACTTCACGGTTCTTCCTCTGAAATCACCAAGCTTGAGCAGTTACCATTCGTTTCCATGACAACCTCTTTCTGACTACAATTGCTTGCATTTCTGGTTTTTCTACTAACTGATTTTTCTGTCTCTGCAATGTTTCTTGTGGTTTAACTAGGACAAAAGTATAGCATAGTGTCCTTGTTTAGTAATGAGCACGTGCTGTCTGCAGGCTTTGAAATAGACACCCCTGATAAATTTGGAAGAACGTGCCTTCATGCTGCTGCTGCAGGAGGGTGAGTAGCTAGCAATTTCAGTCGCTTCATGACTTGTCAATGTATCTTAATTGACTTCCACTGTCTGTGAACCAAAGACAATTTCCCGAATAAAATGAGAAAGGATCATCTGTACCCAGGATCAAATATCACTATGTTCCATTTCCAGATTAATTGCATTTTGATCTTCCAAAGAAAATCGGTTAGCTCATCTCATCTAGCAAGTAGCTTATCTCTTCCTTCCTTGCTTTTTTTTTGTTGTTGTTGTTTTTAATCACAGGTGTTCAGTCTATAGAATGTATGTCTACTTGGTACACTTTAAACCAAATGGGAAGATTCTAAGATTTGTTTTTTTCCTGTTTGCTGCTGGTTGGTGTGTGATGACCAAGGCAATCCAAGATTGGATGAATTCATGTTCATTTATGGAGATATTGGCCTTTTTTCAAAATTGATTTTGAAATCGTTAGAACGATTACATATGACCAAAAGCCAAGAATTCTTAAAGGCATTAATTGATTTAATCCTTGAGACATTCTTTTGTTCTTATTGTTGTTTTTACAAAGAGTAATTTTTATCAGCCATTCCTTTTCCCTGTCAATGCTTAGATTAAAGCTCTGATCAGTACAAAATTGATGCATATTCACACATTGACCAAGTATGGTGTCTCTTGAGTGACCTTTGAGATACTGATTTTAACCAGTTTTCTAGGTCATCTCTAGAGTACGAAATGTATCACCTGTTCATTATAAATGCATTAACTGTGACACTTCAGGGCCCCTTATTTACATGGATCTTACGAATCTTCTATGATATCTTATACTTAACTTGTATATTTATAATAGTGTGCATGTTTAAATCCTTTTCCCTTGCCCATCCCCCAAATGTCTGAGCTTTGTGAATCATACTTCTTGGATCTGCCTTTGGCATCATTTGGTAGGAGAGAGGTGCTTTTTGTCACCTGGCATGCTACCCTAACATGTGTTTGTCAGCAATAGTGCTCTTATTTTTTTTATTTTTTTTTTATTGAAAAGTCAAACCTACAGAGAGGAAGATCTTCCACCCACTGATTCACTTCCCAAGCGGCTGCAGTGTTAAAACTGTAACAAAAGTAAATTCTAGGCCACTTCTTAGCATCCCAAGTTTAGAATATTGAAAGATGATCGTCTCTAGATAGTCCCACATTAAAAAGAATTTTAGATCTGTACAGGAAGTGACAACACAGTGCTCTGGTTTTCTTCTGAAACTCCTGTTGAAATCCGTTCTTGTCCTTCAAGAAGAAAATTTACTTCAGTGGGTACCGCTCTCTGTGCTAAACGTGATTGATTGTTTCTACAAATAACAAGGCCGCTTTGGGAGATCACTATGCCCGTGACATCATTTTCAGCCTTGGTTCTGCACATGCTTACCTAGATTACAAGGACAGGGAATGCAGCAATTTTATCTTCCTTTTAAGAGTAGGTTGAAAGTGCTTATCATGGTAAATTATTTCTGCATTGATATAAGGTAATACGTACCCACCCTGGTTCATTATTTAAAGGTGACATAAGTTACTATAATTGTAAGTGATTGTTTCCTAAAACTCTTAATGGTTTTGAAAAGTAATTTTAGGGTAAATGATGAAAACATTATGTATGATTTAATCATGTAGTAATTGTTTTATATTTCTTACTCATGGAATTAGAAATGTTCTTTCAAGAATTCCAATTTATTCTTATTAGGTTTGATAAAGGAACTTTTTTAGATCCTTATAATTGGACTGCTGTAATGTGTTCAGGGTTTTTTTTTTTTCTTTTTTTAGCAGAATTTTAAACCTGGAGTTGTCATTTAATCTTAGCCTGCACTCCGTAGAAAGCAGCTGTTTTGATAGAGGCCGGTACATGTTTGCCGCTGTCTGAATGGTGTTTTCCTTGTCTTTCTAGTAATGTGGAATGTATAAAACTCTTGCAGAGCAGTGGAGCGGATTTCCAAAAGAAGGACAAGTGTGGAAGGTACGTCATGTGGGAGCCCTGCTTCCAGCATCACCCACGAGTTCTGGATGGGACTCGTCTGTTTAGAAATCATGTAATGTTGAAATTGTAATCAGGGGAGGTAGCCAGGGGCTTCTATCCTCAGAAGGAAATTTCTGATAGTTTGGGAAAGCCGATAAAGCAAACACAGGGCACAGAGAAGATGTTTTCTCTCCGTTTCCACCTAGAGGTGCAGTTTGTCTCCTTTTAATTGAAAAAAAAAATCTACATGGGAGTCAAGTATAAAATCCTAGTTGTATTAGAATAGAATGCGTTGACATATATATGCACCTCCTAACCCAGTCTGGGGGTGAATTCTAGACATTAAAATACACAAACATATCAACATCAATCATAGAATTTATTTACCTCGTTATCCTTTGTGTAGCTAAAATATATTGTGGTGTGACTTATATATGTGTGTGGTATACACACACACACACACACACACACACATACACATACACACTCTGGATATTGTTTACTTGTGCCAGACCAAAAAAAAAAAAACCCTGCTAAATAATTGAGAACTAAAAATAACTAATTAAAAAAAAATCTTTCTCATTTCTGCAGTCTTGCCCTCAAGTGCTTTTGCCTTTTCTGAATATTACTTTAGTTGGTTTCTTGTAGTAATTGAGATAAAAGTAATGCCTGTTATCCTTTTAAATACCTGAGAAATTTGAGCCCAGAGAAGCTAATTGGTGTTTACATGGACACAGAATTTTGGATGTAGAAAGACCCATAGGAGAAGCTCTTTATTGAAATGAGGAAGCCTCCGCCCAGAGAAGGGCTATGGTTTGGTCCATCTTGCAAATCTGCCTAGACAGGAGCCTGGGGCTAATGATTCTGTGTGTCTCCTGTAATCTACAAGCCCCTCGGATGCTCCCAGTTTAGTGAAAAAGATGAGAAAATACACTAATAGCCAGCGGCAGGACAATAGGTGACCAGAGCTCTAGGGAGTCCCTGAGAGGAACTAAGCCATCTCAGACAAAGACAGAACAAGAAGTTTGGAATTATGAAGGATAAGGAGGGTTTTGATTGGGTGGAAGCGCTTTAGAAAAGGCCTGGATAGGCATGATCCAGAAAACATCTGCTCATTCCAGCTTGGATACACTATAGACACCTGTCTGGGCATGGGGGTGATGGGGAGAACGATTGGCTGATTCTGTAAGAGCGGAGGGAACGTGTTAGAAAGATCTTCAATTCCAGATGAAAGAATGAAACTGTTTCAGTGAGAAAGAACCAATGTTTCATAAAAGGGCTGTGTCATGTGGATATTGTATCTTAGGACAAACTGAGTCTTCATCCGTACTACTAGAAATTAGATGCAAGCTGTATTTAGAGCTAAAGATAATCTTCGTGGGACTGCCCTTGCAGTGGTCCCAAAATGCAGTCATGTAGGTCTGAACTGGATGGGTGCTATGAGTGGAAAGGACGGGTAGATCTGAAGTGGCTGGCCTGGTCTTTGGAGCCTCAGTTTAATTTGTATAATCAAAGAAAGACACATCCTTGACCTCCACATACCCTGAGAATCAAAGAGCTTTGTGTGCCCCTAGGAACACTGCTTCCAGTGCTAATGCGAATGACAAGTCTGTTTCCCCAACTGAATGAAGTAATAAATTGCTGTTTGTTTTCCAGGACCCCTTTGCACTATGCAGCTGCAAATTGTCATTACCATTGTATTGAAACATTAGTGACCACAGGGGCCAACGTTAATGAAACAGACGATTGGGGTCGGACAGCTCTCCACTATGCTGCAGCTTCGGACATGGATAGAAAGTAAACACAGACTTCCTTCTGCTTCCCCTGGGGGGAGGGACTAGCTCTGTTTTCTTCTCCTAGAAACTGCAAATGCAGAATTCTTCTCATCCAGACTCAGGATTTGGGGCTGCCCCCCAACCTGGGTTTCCCCATGTGGCTTGCTTCATGTTCAATTATTACATAGCGCTGGGCAATGACTTCTCTGTATTGTTTCGGTTGAATGCCAAGTGAAACCATCAAGGCCAGGGTTTTAGTTCACTCAGAATCCACAGTAATTTATCTTGACATCCACCAAAGTTTTCATCATCCCCACAGTTTATGAAATTGTTCTCAAAGGCTTAAGGCAGGATCTCTCACAGACATGCTCTTTAGTGATGTACTTTGGAGGATTGCTGAGTTATTGACTATCCTGTGCATGCTGTGGAATTAATCCTAGGCCCTGCTAGTTGGCTTCTCATAAAGCAGTGCCTTTCCAACATTTTTGTTGATTACCCACAATACATGAATTCATACATATTTATATCTATATATACACACATATGTAATACACTATATACATGCTGTCTGTGTAAAAAAGAAATTAAAAATGCAGAAAAATGTGTTTATACATATTACCCATGATTATGACATTTTAATTCTGTTAAAAAATTTTGCTTATTGCAGCTCACCGAATTGATTTCAATGTTCAGTAATAGGTTACTGTTCATACTTTGAAAAAGCACTGCTTATTTGTTTTTGTGTGATATTTAGATTTATCTGTTTTGTTATGTGAATAGTGTAATCACTGTATGCTGAAGTCATATGTAGCATTCCAGATTCCACAGCCGCATAGCTTATGGACACACTGTTTTAACTCAGCAAGTGCAGTATGCCAAGGGTTACGCTATTCACGCAGGAGAGAAGAAGGGCACTTGAAGGGGAGAAGGGACAAGTATACCTCATTTGTTAAGAGTTGGAAGAGGAGTCCTGGATGGTCGACATTTTTCTGGCGGATGAAGGGTGATTAGGGCCTGGCTAAACTGATGTTAAATTGGCATGGAAGTGCGGAGATTGTATTAGGAGTCAGAGAAGTTTGTGTTAAGTCACCTCCTTTCTCACTTGGAGAGGTTATGATGTTTGGTGGATGGGTGGGCAGTTTGATTGTTGCCTTTATCAGCAACGCTTCAGTGGAAGTTTTAAGAAAGTCTTGTCTTCAGTTGGATTCATTGGGAGAGAATTGATTTATTGGATAGCCTGGGAGAAAACTATCTATATCCTGAGTGAAAATCAGTGGTGCTTATTACTTTGGGGTTGGGTAAAAAATCACTGAGATATAATTATTCTGAAACCATCGATGATACTATCATTGAAAAACAGCTAATTGCAATTGTTTTTCTACCCTTGCATGGAGAAGCAAGACCATCTTAGGAAATGCCCATGAAAATTCAGAAGAACTTGAAAGAGCCAGAGAGCTGAAGGAAAAGGAGGCCGCATTGTAAGTTTGCTCTCAGCTTCAGAACCAGGTGCCACCGGTGGTGCTTCGTTTCCTTCTCTGCATGGCCACGTGTGCCTGCTTTGCTATCTCAGGGTTTTATCTGGGCCTGAAGAGGAAGTAATGTGGGCTTGCCTTCAATGGAGAAGAAATTGTTCTTTGAATATACATTCATGCTATTTGCATACAGGAAACCCTGAAACAGTAGGCTCTTCTTCAACCAGCACTGTGATTGGTCAGCACTTTTAGGACAAGCTGTCTCTTCATGCATCCTGTACATGACATGGTAACTTAGGATCTTAGGCTCTGTTCTTTGTTATCTAGGTCTGACTATTTAGCAAATCCTGTGCATTGATGTCTTGAAACTTTGGTATGAAATATACCAGCTGTGCTTTCCCCTTACCCTACCCCACTCTGCTCCCTGCAGACTGCTGCTCCTGGGCCACTCCTCCCCAATGCTTCACTGTGCCTTGTGATAGGGACTCCTGTGCCTAGAGGTGGATGCCTGCCCTCACCCATGGGAGCTCCTATGGGTGGCTTTCCAAGAGTTTATTCTGTGAAGAAGTCACAGTGAACAGCATTCCAGGACCAGTGCAGTGCCTAGCATGTAGTTGCTATACAATAGCTAGTTGTTGAATGATGAGCAAATGAAATGGTACCCACTGGGAGTGTACAGTCACACTGTTCTTGTACATTGTCTTCACTGGCCACTAGAGGAGCCAGTTTCTCTGTGAGCTGAGTTCTGTGTCCACTGTAGGATCTTCCCATCTCCTTGTGGGCTTTCCTGGTGTCCATACCATTGTGCAAGGTGCAGATGGTAGGATGTAACTGAGAATGTTTCCATGTGAGGACAGAAAACACACCTGGAAGTGAAGTGGAATGATGAATTGAAGTAGTAGTAACATTCCAGAATTTCAAATAATTTTTTTTTAATGTAGAATTTGGAGCTCTATGAATGCCCTGTTCTCCACTGAGCTTTGGGCTTGCTCTGGGTAGACCAACCCCCCTTAGGATTATGAAGCAGGTAGGGAAGAGCAGGTTCCCGAGAACTCTTTTATGAGTGGGAAGCTGCTCCTCTTGTCCAGACACATTCTGGTCTAACATGTACTTATTGATCTTGCATCTTGAGTGCTGGGTTTGCTCATCAGGGCCATGGAGGGTAGAAAAGCATGCCTGGTGAAAACATGAAAATTGTCTTTTTCTTTAGCTAATGTGGAGAATATTCAATCATATACTACTCGTGTTACTCTGATGGTACTGTAAAGTTCAACCGTAAGTCTAACTTAAATAACTCCTTGGAAGCAAGTCCAAGTGCTTTCTGCATTACAAATTCAAGTTATCATCAGATTTTTATAATCAGTTCAGAAGTTGATCATATGCTGTTTCGATTGGATGAGTGTATTTAAATAGCTAACTTTAGTGAGTCATACTAAAATTCTGTCTAAGACATTTAAGCACTAAAGTAAAAAAGACTTCCTTATAAGTGTGACAACAGTAGCATTCTAATGGATGATTGATTTATGTTAGAGGTCATGATAGATGAATGATATGATAGAGGTAGAAATTAGAATATCTATTTGAATTGTCTGTCTCTCTCTGACTGGTTTATCCCTTTCGCCTTATACCAAAAGACGTGAATATCATTAATATATATGAATAAATTACAGGCATTTTCCTTTGGAGGGTGTTGTCAAATACATAGGCTTGTATTTAGAATCTTGGAATTTTCAGTATGAGCCAGTGGAATCAGTTAGCCTTGTAAAGGATTTGTTTGCCCACTATCGTAAAGATAACACTATTGTTTTATGGCTTGCTTATTCCTTCTTTTCCTTAAACAACTGAGCCATTTATATTGGATCCTGAACAGAACTTGTCCCATCCCTGAGCACTTGGGTGCTGGAATTTGGGGCTGTTTGGTGAAGACAGAGCTACGCTTCTTCCTCTCATCTCTTCCAGAGATTGCAATTTTCTCAGAAAAAAACACAACTGTGTTAGCAGATGCTTTAAACACTGATGATTTAATTCTACTCTATATTCATAATGATGCCATTTTGAGTGTCTTTCTTCTCAAGTTATTGAATCAGTCTTTGATATTTGTGAAATGCTAAATCATTTCTTCAATCTTTTCACTATGTGAATTCTTCTTGGGTTCCTTAGCTTTTTTCACTTGTGTTTTACAATCTTCTAACATTCAAACCTCCAATAGTGAGCTTAAAAATAAACCTCCCTCTGTTGGGTTGGCCCTGTTGCTGTGACCTGCCCCTCTGTTGATTACAATGAGACTTCACCTTCTGAATGTGGGGCTCTTCCACTGATAGTTCAGTAATCATGACATACCTGCTTTGCCATTGAAGATTTAAAAAAAAAAGAGCCCTTCAATTACTCTTTTGTTTTTACAACTTTTTTTTATTTCTACAGTGGCTATTTTAAGCTGAAATGAAGATAGCTACGAAACACGCACACACACACACACACACACACACACACACACACACACACACACCATACACAACCCCCAGCATGTAAAACTCCTTTGCTGTAGGATTTTTAAAGAAACACATCAGCTCATAATGTGCTTTGCAGAATGATCACAATAGGAGAATGGACATTAATTATCATTTTCCATTCAGAGATGTTTTCTAAAATAAGCCTCATCTTTGTACTTACAGATGTTTAGAGTTTCTGCTTCAAAATGATGCAAATCCGTCTATCCGGGACAAGGAAGGCTACAATAGCATACATTATGCTGCTGCCTATGGCCACAGACAGTGTCTGGAATTGGTGAGTCATTTTACCTGGCTTTGTTTTCTCCAGCACACTCACTCACTCACTCACCTACCAACCCACCCATCCTTGAAACTGCTAATCTTTAACTCTCAACAAAAACCATCAGTGACTGATGGAGTCACCACAGAAATTGCCTGGAGGATGCTGTGTGGTGAGTGGCTTTACTTTACAATGTGTGGATCCACTTTTTTCATTCTCATCTCAGAGTTGACTGACTGTTGATTTGAACTGGGACTAGATGTGTGTGTTAGTAGGTATTTTACAGGTAGTTAAGGATGTATCAAATAAGTTCAGTGCATATGTTTAAGCAGAAACTTACTACTCCAATATTCAATAACAGTGCCTAACATGATTAGTGTAACCACTAGGTGTATGGCTTTGTTGGGGTTCCATGTTTGTACATTTGAAAAAGAAATTGAAAAAGAAATTGACGAAGATACAATAGCAAAATTTGCTGGGCTCTGCAGATAAACAACAATTTCATTGCTTTGGTGACCATGAGACACGTGAGAATTTGTAAACTGAAACTCGTTTGTTGGTGTAGGTCACAAGATATAAACTCAAAATGTTTGTGGGGACACAGATTGTAATGTACATGAGTGAAGTGAGCACAGGAGAGATTGTGGCAAAGAGCTCCGTGTTCTGTCTGGAGAAAGAACTTGTCAGCTGCCGCTGGTTGCGACCAGGCGGGATTGCAAGAGAAGTGAGCACTCTAGTTATTTTATATGAAATTTGCTGTTGAGAGCCAGTAGATGGGCCAGGGAAAAGCAAATTGTGGGTTTGTGTGTGGATCCTGCCTGCAGGCCAGCCTTGGTCATCCGCTGAACATCGCCTCGGTTCAGTTTCACTAGCACGCAGGAGTTTCCCAGACTCACAAGTCACAAGTTCCCTCAGCTGGGAAGCAAACAGATGGTTATGTTGGAATTATTTTTCTCTGCATGTGAATGGGACCTATCCTTTATCGTTCTTGAAGTCTTTCTTGCACCCTTGTGACTGCTAAAGTATTCCTTCTGTGATCTTGGTGGTAGATGCCTGGCTTAATCCTTCGGTTCTGATTGCATCCTAGTTTCTCTTCCAGTTACTGAGGCTTCATCACAAATCTCCTATGAACATCAGTGACCCAAAATAACAACAGTGGCATATCGTCTCTGCTTTAGAGGATCTGGAATTCAAGAATGGCTTAGCTGAACACTTTTAGTTGAAGATATCCTGTGAGATTACTGTCAGATAGTGGCTGAGGCTGGCAAAAATCTCAAAGGCTTCTTTACTCGTGTTTCAGTCACCTGGGCTGGAAGGCTGAAATAGCTGACATCCCTGAAGCCCCCTTCCCTCTCAGCCTCCCTGTAGACTTTTCACGTGGTTTTCTGTATAACAGCGGGTCCAGAGTCACTGAGTTTCTCACTTGATGGCTCAGGGATCCAAGGGTATCCTCTGAAGGAGAAGGGAAATTGAGGATCTGTTCTCCAAGGTCACACAAGGTCACTTCTGTTGATTCCGTTTTTTAAGACAGCCACAAATTACAGAGGATGCCTTGGAAAAGTTGGTGTAGCAAAGAATTTGTGAGTGTATTTTATTAATAAGATTTATTTCTTTTTATTGGAAAGTCAAATTTACAGAGAAGGAGAGACAGAAAGATTTTCTATCCACTGGTTCACTCCCCAAATGGCCACAACGGTTAGAGCTGAGCTGATCCGAAGTCAGAAGCCAGGAGCTTCCTCTGGGCCTCCCACGTGGATGCAGGGTCCCAAGGCTTTGGCTCATGCTTTGCTGCTTCCCAGACCACAAACAGGGAACTGGAAGGGAAGCAGAGCAACTGGGATACGAACCGGCAACCATATGGGATCCCAGTGCATGCAAAGTCCTAGAGGACTTTAGCCACTGGGCTATGGTGCCGGGCCCTGTGAGTATATTTTAAAATGGTCCAATTCCGTAGGAAGGTATAGGAAGAAGCCACTGGTTTCCTCACCTGTAGCATGGATCCCATGTAGCATCCCTAGAGCAATGCCTAACCTTATACGCGAGTAAACCAAAATGCAGAGGCATTAACAAATTTGTCCACAATCAAAGCACTGCTCAGTGGATGAGACAAGACTATGAGCCAGATTTCATGAATCCTGGTTTCAAAGAAAGTGTTTTAAACTTTGAATAGAGCAACTAGTATGGCAGGAGTTGACTAAGACATAAAACAATATCTCGTCTGCTCCCTTCATGCCAGTTTTACTGTGGAAGTGTATGTAGGCATGTAAGACTTTGTGCTGAGATACTGCATGAGAAAGGCTCCTCAGGGCCCGGCGTGGTGGCGCAAGTGGTTAAGGTCCTCGCCTTGCACGCCCAGGATCCCATATGGGTGCCGGTTCTAATCCCTGGCAGCCCTGCTTCCCTTCCAGCTCCCTGCCTGTGGCCTGGGAAAGCAGTCAAGGACAGCCCAAAGCTTTGGGAACCTGCACCCGCGTGGGAGACCCGGAAGAGGCTCCTGGCTTCAGATCGGCATAGCATTGGCCGTTGCGCTCACTTGGGGAGTGAATCATCGGACGGAAGATCTTCCTTTCTGTCTCTCCTCTCTGTATATCTGCCTTTTCAATGAAAAAATAATAAAAATAAATCTTTAAAAAAAATAAAAAAAAAAAAGAAAGGCTCCTCAGAGATCAGAGGAGGCCGTCAGTGGCAGAGTGAAGGCTTCCTGATGGAACTATTCAGTTGGAGCTGGTTCTCCAAAACAAACTTAGAGACACTGCTGCCTGTAATTGGTTTACTTTATGAAAATAACATGTCATATTCAGATATATGAATTTTATTGCAAAGTTTGCTATTAGTCTTAGTAATATGTGCTGGGTTATAACACTTTAATCTTATAGTATGATAAGTGTGAAATAATTGTCATGTTACAACACATCTTTCTTTGTAAGTGATACATTTCATGGATTACTTTTGTTTTTCAGAAAAGTTACTTCAAAGCCATTATTTCTGTTGTACAACAAAAGGTTTTTTTTTTTTTTTTTTGGTCCATAAGAAGGCTTCAGAAGTTCTACTCATAATTAATGCATCCCTTTGATTAGATCATCACATCATGTATCCTGTGTAGTTTACAAAGATTATTATTCATGACAATTTTAAGACATCCAGAAACAGTAGAGGGAGGTATGAATTGATTTTTTTTGGTTAAGAAGACAGATACTTTTAATTTTTAAAATTATTTATTTTTAAAATTATTTATTTTTAAAATTATTTTGTGGCACTGGAGTCTCCCTTCCCCCTCTCCAAGTTTTCTCCCCTCCTTTCTGTTCTCCCCTCCAGTTATGAATTTATCTTAATTTATAGTGTCTGTGGAACAAGACTAGATTATCAGTATGCCTTGGTAAAAATGGCATTACTGTTTGCTTTGGGGATAGAACCTCAGTGTGCCATTTCCAGCCAGATGGGATGGAAATTCTTCTCGCATTGCCATGAATGATTACAGTTAACTGTGAAGATTTATGTATTCCTGGTGTGAAATGCATCCTAAAAGTCCTCCTGGATATAGTTTACACTTATGCAAAAATCCTAAGCAGACTATAAGCATTCATATCCCCCACCCCCTCCAATCAAAACAAAAACAACCTTGAACACTAGGTACCCTGAAGTCACAATGCCTTAGCAGCACGTTATCCTGGTGCAGACTCACCCACTGCCAGTGGGTTTGGGGAGGGGTTGGGACAAGAGGGAGGGAAAGCGAGAACAGGGCCTGGTCTGGAGGCAAGCGCTAGATGAAGAGGGCAGGGGCATCCTTTCCTAATACGTGTTCCTTTGACTCTAGGGACTGTAGGATCTTCATACTCCTTAGCATTCTCTCATTGTTGGACCCTAGATAATACGAAAGCAAATTAGTGTGCACAAGGGGGGAATTCAGAGACTCTTCCACATGGAAAGCTTTCCCTCAACCTGAAAACAAGCAGGAGCCATCCTCGTAATAAATGGGCTCTGGCTCTGTCAGGTGAAATGTTGCCAATGAAAAGACTGTGTGTATCGCTTGTTTGAACCTTCCAGCAAGAAGGGTGTATGGAAACAACTTCTTTTTTTCTTTCAAAGATTTATTTAATTATTTGTTTGAAAGGCAGAGACAGAGCTTACTCTTCCATCGGTGGTTTGGTGGTTTGACTTTCAAAATGGCCTCAACTGCCAGGCCTAGGTCAGGCCGAAGCCCAAGTCAGGGGCTCCTTCCCACAGGTGGGTAAGGGACCCAAGTACTTGGGTCATTTTCTGCAGCCTTCTCAGGGTCATTAGCAGGAAGCTGGATCACAGGCGAAGCACCCAGAACTCCACCTGGCACTCCAATATGGAATGCTAATGTAGCAAACATTGGCTTAACTCGATGAGCCACAAAGGCAGCTGGCCCCTGGAGACTAGAATGCCAGCTTCGCAGTCCGTGCTTCTGGCCTGTGGGAGGAAATAACAAGTAACGAGTTTCCCCATCAGAGCTGGGGCATCGCCCGTGTTTGTGGCCAACAGAGCTGGCTGATTTATCGGGCTGATGGGGTTTGTTTTTGCTGTCTCCTCGCATCTAGTTGAGCTATTACTGTGATTATACATATCATTAGGTACATATCATTAAATTGGTTGCTTGATTTATACTTTGGCCTGCATTTGCTTGGGATTTGTGGCTATGGTGTCTATCTGTGATCATTAGCTTAGGATTTATAAATCATATTTTGTGTTCCATCTTTGCTATAATCAAAAGGGAATAGAAATGACTTTAGTTATTGTAATTCTACTTACACAAAGAATCTAGAATTAGTTCCGAGAACAAAGCACCGCTAGAAAGTAGTATAAATTCCTTAGCCTTGATGGATTAACCAAAGATCAGAATTCTACCTGCGTAAGCCAGGGTTCCCAGCTGGTCTTGATCAACGCTGTATGTACTATGTGTGTAAGCAAAAAATCTGCCCAGCAGTATGTGTGTATTTAGAGCTGTGATCAGTCACATTCAATAAAGCTCAAATGATCAAAACCAAACCTTG